TTCACAATGGTTTCCTTAAAACCTTTATCTTAAACGTACTTAATTATAGACATAGGTTTAAAGAGTATTATTGTGAATCGGTAATTGGCATCTTGGAGGATAACCTGAAATTGCGCTTATAGTCCCTTTAATAGTATTTTTGCTGCTACTGCTTTAAGTTCAACAGAATCTGAAAATATACAATATAAAAAAATAATTTAAAAAAAATTAAATTAAAATATGACAAAATTTGAACTTGATTAATTTTCTTGTTTGTTCAGAATGCAAGACTATTCGAGTTCATTTTCGGGCGTGGGGACAGGATCAAGTTCGCCCACCCCCTCCTCCTACCACTCCCCCTCACTCCCCTCCTCCCACATACCCAACCCGGCCGAGCACTCCTTCTTGGCCTCTTCGATGTACGCCCCCTCCACCCGGTCCGTGTTGTCCTACATGCCCGCCCCTCTCTTTACACCACAGTCCCCCTCACCCCCCGCCCCTGCCGCCATGTGGCACAGCTCAGGGGCGAGCCAAGAGGGGGCAGGGGGGCATGACCCCCAGTCATCTCCCTACTCCAGGCTACAACCCTCTAACAACTCAGGATCTTACTTTTCAAGGTAAAAATTGAAAATCTAAGGAATTGATTTTTCAAATCATGATATCTTTGCAACCTGCTGGTGTAAGCCTTTGATATGTCAAACTTAGATTATTTGATTTAACAGAATTCTTGGTTTGAAATATCTGGCAACGACATTGGGTTGCAACGATTAGGGATTAGAAATCAATTCCTTTATGATAAATGAATAAAAAAGCAATTAATCTTTTTTTCCAAAAAGTGATAAAAAAATTCCGATAATTCCCTAAAAACTTAAAAAACCACATGAACACCAAATACCAAAACCAAACAATTAGGTAATTTTTAATAGGAGATAAGTTAGATTCAAACCCTCTTTTTAAAACAAATAACTAACAAAATTCTATTATTCTTATATAATTCGGAGTATTATCATTAATATAATTATCATTGCTATTATTATTATTCTTATTATTATTGTCATTGTTACTATTATTTTTATTATCATTATTATTATTATTATTATTATTATTATTATTATTATTATCATTTTTATTATCATTATTATTGATATTAATATTAGTATTAATATTAGTATTATTATTATATCACTATTCTTTAAAATCTGCTAGTATGTCCGGTGGAATGAGTTCCCATCTGAATCCGTACGCTGCTGCGTATGCGCAGAATGCAATGGCCTGGAATACCTACAGCATGCAAACATTCCAGGGGCTACAGAGGGCTGGGGTTACATACGGTAGGAACACTTTATAATATTCCAGGGGCTACAATGGGGTGGGGTTACATACGGTAGGAACACTTTATAATATCCCAGGGACTACAGAGGGCTGGGGTTACATACGGTAAGAACACTTTATAATATTCCAGGGGCTACAGAGGGCTGGGGTTACATACGGTAAGAACACTTTATACTATTCCAGGGACTACAGAGGGCTGGGGTACATACGGTAGGAACACTTTATAATATTCCAGGGGCTACAGAGGGCTGGGGTTACATACGGTAGGAACACTTTATACTATTATTCCAGGGACTACAGAGGGCTGGGGTACATAGGCGTTTGTAACAATGCACCACAGATAATGGCCCCGTATTATGAGAAAAAAATGCAAAATTCACATTTCCTAATTCGTCTTTTTCGGAATATTACTGTCGGTCAGGCAAGAGAGGTTAAGTACCTATTCTTCAAATAAAAAAGGCCAAAATTATTAAAGATTGGATGCGCAGACGGATTGTGGAAGTTTTAAGGTCTAAACTATTTCGTTTCAACGTAAAACAGCGGCAACAAACGAAGAATTCAAATATTTCACAAAAATTATTGAAAACTCACAGATTTTGCTTTTTTTGGTTTGTCACTATTTTTTAGTTTGAAAAAACGAACTCATTTTTCAAAAAAATAAATCACTTAAATTTTTCAATATTTTCATGAATGTTAATTTCTTTGAAGGGACATTGTTCTAATTTCCCAACTGTACACCCTTGAAACCTTTGTTTGATAAAACAGGGAAGGTGTCTAGCTTGAATATTGTGTAAATCGAAACTTTCCATTCTATATCAATAGAGGGAAACTCGAAATGACGTCATTAGTCCCTTTAAACTTTGAATTTACTGAATTTCTGTTAGATCCTCAAATGGGAGACTATTTCGGTGAAGGACGAGAATGTGTTAATTGTGGAGCTATCTCAACCCCCCTCTGGAGACGGGACGGAACAGGTGGGATTTACGATTTTTGTCGAAACCCGATTTTTAACGAAACCCGATGTTATTAATCGACGATAAATTTATCCAATTGTATTTTAGTTGTAATAACGATCTTATTGTTAATGCAGATAAAGGTTGCGTAATCTCGATGCGCTCCAATGCACGGAAAATGTCGTCTCTTCAGCAATGGACAGTCAAATACGTAAATGACGTCACTGCTTAAAGAGGCGAGTGTAGGGATCAGTGACGTCATTTACGGATTTCACACTGTCCACTGTTTAGCCTGCTTAGGAGGCATCATTTTCCATACAATGGATCATGTGAAGAGTAAGCAACCTCCATAAACAACCTTGATCCAGATAATTATTTACTCAATTTCAATTTCATAGAATTTATTAGAACTCCCTGTTAAATTTGTCAGGCAATTATATTTGGAGAATTTGATATTTTTAGGACACTACCTCTGCAATGCCTGTGGGCTGTACCACAAGATGAACGGGATGAACCGACCCTTGGTTAAACCGCCGAAACGACTGGTAAAGAAAAATTCGACTTATAAATAGAACAAATAGTGTGATAGTTTAATTAATAGTTAGATAGATAGATAGATAGATAGAAAGATAAATATATAGATAGATAGATAAAGAGATAGATAGATAGATAGATAGATAGATAGATAGATAGATAGAAAGATAGATAGATAGATAGATAGATAGATAGATAGATAGATAGATAGATAGATAGATAGATAGATAGATAGATAGATAGATAGATAGATAGATAGATAGATAGATAGATAGATAGATAGATAGATAGATAGATAGATAGATAGATAGATAGATAGATAGATAGATAGATAGATAGATAGATAGATAGATAGATAGATAGATAGATAGATAGATAGATAGATAGATAGATAGATAGATAGATAGATAGATAGATAGATAGATAGATAGATAGATAGATAGATAGATAGATAGATAGATAGATAGATAGATAGATAGATAGATAGATAGATAGATAGATAGATAGATAGATAGATAGATAGATAGATAGATAGATAGATAGATAGATAGATAGATAGATAGATAGATAGATAGATAGATAGATAGATAGATAGATAGATAGATAGATAGATAGATAGATAGATAGATAGATAGATAGATAGATAGATAGATAGATAGATAGATAGATAGATAGATAGATAGATAGATAGATAGATAGATAGATAGATAGATAGATAGATAGATAGATAGATAGATAGATAGATAGATAGATAGATAGATAGATAGATAGATAGATAGATAGATAGATAGATAGATAGATAGATAGATAGATAGATAGATAGATAGATAGATAGATAGATAGATAGATAGATAGATAGATAGATAGATAGATAGATAGATAGATAGATAGATAGATAGATAGATAGATAGATAGATAGATAGATAGATAGATAGATAGATAGATAGATAGATAGATAGATAGATAGATAGATAGATAGATAGATAGATAGATAGATAGATAGATAGATAGATAGATAGATAGATAGATAGATAGATAGATAGATAGATAGATAGATAGATAGATAGATAGATAGATAGATAGATAGATAGATAGATAGATAGATAGATAGATAGATAGATAGATAGATAGATAGAGATAGATAGATGAATACACAAATACATAGATAGATAGATAGATATAGATAGATTAATACACAAATACATAGATAGATAGATAGATATAGATAGATTAATACACAAATACATAGATAGATACGCAAATACACATGTAGATACACACAGAGATACTCAATTACGTTTAAAGGGAGTGACCGACAATGTATGGTAGTTGAACTGAGAATGAAATGAAGTAATGTGGAGAATTTTATCAGGATTCATTTCAGACATATGAAACGTTTTAATGATGTATAACTAATGAGTTTGAGCGCAAAGTCGACGTTCAAAATCGTCCATTTGGGTGGTTATGTTTTCAGAATCGATTTTTTAAAAACTATTAAAAAACGACAACGAAAAATGTGACAAAATTCTAATGTAAACTAGTCAGGTGTTTTGAAACATATTTCTCAATAGAAATTTGGACAATAGATCAATGTTAGAAACAATTATTTCTTTTTCATTGTCATATTGAATTTCTTATTTTTTACGAATTTGTTCGCAGCTTTCTACAAATTCTTTAAATGTCGTCTTATCAAGAAAACTCCCAGAAAATGTATGTGAACAATGAGAAATTCTAGAAACTAGTAATTGAATAAGATTACTTATTTTTGATGATAAGAGTTAATTTTTATCTTCTCAAACTGTTTCTAAACAACTAATTAGTTTATTGTAGAATTTTTGTTACATATTTTGTCGTCGTTATTAAGTAATTAAAAAAAACGATTCTCTAAACGTACCATTTTAATAGATGGTTTTCAAAGTCGATTTAGGAATTATAAATCATTAAAACGTTTTATACGTCTCAAATGAATCCTAAAAAATTCCTCCAAATTACTACATTCTCAGTTCAACTACCATACATTGCCGGTCACTCCCTTTAAGGTAAATGCATAAATACGAAGCATTATACAGAAATAGATACTTGATCAATAAAGATTTGGAAATCCATTAAACATTAAAATCCTTGATTTTTAGTTTTTTAAAAGAGGGTCGAAAAAAGAAAGTTTCAATTATAACTAGGCTAGATTCTGAGAGGATTAGTATACCATATTGATGCTACAGTGAAACTATTGGTTTTCTGGTCTTTTTTCATTGAATAAAAATGCATGACTTATCAGAAACTAACTATTTGATTTTATCATTGATATTCTTCAATGTAAGAAATTAGTAAAGAGAAAAAAAATTAATGCATATTGAGAATTAAATAATATGCTGGAAGATTTATACGTCATACAATTTGCATACAAACACATCATTGAATAAAAAAATGATTTTTTTTATTTTGACAATAAAACAAGATACTCCCTGGAAATATAATGTATACAGTCTGATTTTTAGAAGGCGATGTAATCCGCAAACATCTGATAAACACTCCAAATCGTTTATACTGAAGATTTATACTGTATTTATAAATAAAATTTTATTAAAATAAAAAAGTTGTTTTTCAATGGCTCTTCAGTTTTCAACTGAACAGAGTATATTTAAAACTTTAGAATCCTAGAATATACTAAGTAGAAAGGAAATAGAGGATCTAAATAACTTTTCCTTAAAAATTAGACCAGAACTGAAAATTGCGAATTTTATAATTACAAATTTGCTATTTTTCTGTAATTCTGTGATTCAATCTTTATAAATTATAGAATTTGATAGAAAAATAATTATGTACACATTTTTTCTTTTCTGAACTTTTGATTTTGAAAGAAAAAAGTTTCGCGGATTTTTTGGGGTACAAAAAATTCTTTAAAATATTATTCACGTTGGGCGTGGTATTTTGTAAATAACTTTAAAAACGGCTGCCATTGAACATTAAAACTCTTCACTTTTTAAACTTCATAGTTGTGAAAAACAAATTTGGCAAAAAAAAAAATATTTTATGGTAGGGTGGAGTCATTCAAACGGCGGGTCGGGTATCACACTACCCTATCTCAACTCTNATCCATCCTGCCCCACCCCTTTCACGATCTAGCCCCCCTCTGGCCTCAATATTCCCTTCTCCAGGTTGTAGAGTATGTAATCCTACTCTCCTGAAGCCGGACAGATCTAAAAAGTTTATTTTACAGTTTCAGATAAGAAGTCTGAAGCAAGGGCGCGCGGTGAATCATTGAAGGATATGCCGCCAGGCGCCGCTAGTATTCCCCCGCCACACAATATGGCGGCCCAGCGCCATGACACAGTCAAAAAAGAACCCATAGAGCGGGTGAGTCGTTACAGTCCTGAACTAAACCACGCCTACGGACAATCCCTCCCCCCTCCCGTGCTCTCGGGTCCCCATCCGTCCACGGACCCACGATCTCATCCTTCACTGCAGGACCATGGTCCAAAATTCGATTTCTATCGTCCAAACACCGACGACGGACGATTAGGACATTTATGTTAGTTCAGATTGATAGATCTGAGAAATCTGTGATTTTTAAATTCTCTTTTTCCTTTTTCCAATTTTTGTTTTCTTTCCTTTCCTCTCTTTTTCCGGTCTTTTTTATTCCTTTCTAGTTTGTGTTTTCTGAATACTAAAAACCCTGTCTAACGTTTAGTACAGGGTTATCCACAAAGGATGAGGCTTAAGAGACGACTGTACGGAATGTATTTAGTCTTTGTTATTACATTTATGATTCCCAGCAGATTTTAATTTTGAAAAATCATTTAGCAAACTATTAAAAAACTACATTAAAGACAGAAAACCAAAATTAAGAATAAGATCGTCACATTTTTAGAGTTTTGGGTCGTCATTTAAGTATTTTGTTGGTAACCCAGTACGTAGTATGTATTATTGTAAAGAATTGATATTTTTTAAAAAGAAATGTTCATTGATTTAATCAAATTGATTTTAAAACTTTGAAGAAAACTTCATTTGAATTAGAAACCTAGAAATTAAATCAATAAATGAAAAATAACTCTTAGTTAAAAATATTTTGTTTAGATTATTATTCAAGCTTTTTTAAAACCATGAACAAT